GAGTGGCATGTGTAGGTTAGTATACATTTTATTGGTGATAACATTCTCTAAAACCAAGAAGAATAATGCCAAATATTGCTCTCTATAAATAACAAAAATTGCTAATTGCAGATATTGACGAGTGCAATGCATCATCTCTTTCAACAAATRACAGACACTACGCCCATAATTGTCACTCTAATGCGGCATGCACCAACACTAAAGGATCGTTCGACTGCACCTGTAAAACGGGGTATTCTGGTGATGGAGTCACGTGTGTAGGTATGCTTATGGAATACATTGATTTCATGATTCAATATTTTTATTATTTCTTTATTAAAACCTTTATTTTTCGTGAAGGGGTCATATTTTTATGAGGAGTTTGATGGGGAAGTAGCTTAGAATAAGATTATTAACTGCTAGTAGTGAGAACCCGTATATTCACTTCACGATAGCCGCGTGTGCGCACGGACTTTCATCAGTTGAAACATCAAAAAGTTGTTGTGATTTTTATTGCGTTATCAGATCTGGATGAGTGTAAACTTGGAACGCACAACTGCCCGGCAGATTCAAACTGCACCAATACCAAGGGATCTTTCTATTGTGTCTGCCTTTATGGTTATGTAGCCGATGGAGACCTCTGTGTTGGTAAGGAATTATATATTGAAAAATGTTGCTTAGGGAGAAAACTGATTGCTTTCAATTTGAATTACACGATGGATTAGAGATGCTATCATATAATGTATAAGGAGACAACCACAAGTAAACAAAGTGCAATGAAGATGTTAATGATATTAAAAAGAGTGGCGATGATGATGATTGTTATGATGGTGATGAATAATTAATACTGATAATGATAATAACTATTTATGATCAGTAATAGTAACAATGAGCAAATTGTGTCGTTGAACATTATGCCATATAACTATATCAGTGAATACTTAATATCACGTGAACGTTTTTTTGTTCGGAGGTTATTGTAATACCTTTATAGTCAAGGCAAAGTACTTTTTCTTCAGGTTTTAGAGGAAATAGCCTCTAATGATTATCTTTTGTTTTTCAATTGTAGATGCAAACGAATGTGATCCTGCTGGACTACCTCAGCACATCAAGCACCTTGCTCACAACTGTCARMKRGATGCTAACTGTACCAACACCAAGGGATCGTTCTACTGTACCTGTCATYCGGGATACTCAGGAAATGGAGTCACGTGTGTTGGTAAGAATCTGAAACTATTCGGAATACTTGTTGTTATAAAAAAATCTATAATCAGTGTTGTTTATCTCGTTGTAATAATCTATCTTGACTTGAAGATATCAACGAGTGCAAGACAACAGCCCTTGCAGTGCGTCATAAAAAATACGCGCATAAATGCAATGTCCTGGCGAACTGTACCAACACCAAGGGATCGTACTACTGTACCTGCCATACGGGATACTCAGGAGATGGATTCACGTGCTTGGGTAACTATACTTGATCAATATAAGTCAATACATGAACGTGTATACGAGGAAGTTTGCGATCGCTTGTTTTGTTTGCAAAACTTGTTGAAAGTTGCTTTCTGATTGGTAGCGTGAAATCAAAGTTGCTTTCTGATTGGTTGCATGAAATCAAAGATGAGAATATCGCGCAAAGATTCTTTGATGCACTTGGGGCTATCTATTGTAGAATTGATTACTGTAACAGCTTGTGTCATTTAAAAACAGCTGTTTTATTTACAAGTTGGGTTAGCTTGGAATACACGTCMATGTGRCGTAGGTCTTAGTATCTTTATTACTGCTTTTCGTATGGGTTTCAGCCGGGATATTAGAATAATCGGATTAAGAGTGGAATTGAAATGAATAATATTAGAGCTGAGATAATATGCGAAGGCTGTACTTCTGTTAATCGTTGTGTTGATTGCAAGCGTAAGCATTACGCCTGTCATAGGAATGTAGCTAACAATTAGACATGAAACCACTATTATCATCGTCATTAATGTATTTTTAAAGCTTGGTAAATTCACGTTCCTCGGCGTTTCTCTAGTACTGTTTCTGGTTTCTTTACTACCAACTCTTGAGCCTTGTTTGTGGAGAAGTTTATGTGATRTGTAGTAAAACACCAGCATRGTGCAATCCATTAGTAGTAATCCAGCTGTATTGAATGCTGAAGTAAATTTATGACTCACATAAAGTGCACTTGTAGCATTAATAGCCGAAGC